GAGTCCCCGGGATGAGGGCGGCTGTGTCCCTCGGCAGGAGCAGCCGGGAGCCCGCGGCGAGAGGCGTCGGGCTGGGATGGATGGCAGCCGGCAGCGCTCACGCGTGTCCGCGGCAGAGCCCGGCGGGGATCGGGGGTGCTGGAGCGGGGGAGGGAAGAGAGAGCCCTGCGCCACGCTGAGCGGGTTGCAAAGGGCGCTGAGTTCTTTTTTACTGCTGTTGTGTTTGTAGTCCTGGGAGCTCTTCTAGGAAATTATTTTCCAGATAACGGATCAATACAAATCTGTGCTGCTTTTGTAAGGGAAAAGTAGAAATCAGCGGGAGGAAAGACTCCTTGAGTCCTTGTGGTGTATTTTCCATGGCCAGACTTTGTCCAGCTTGAAATAGCCATATTTTCCATGGCTGTACTTTGTCTGCTTTGATTGAAAGGTGCTGCCTGTCCCAAAGTTAACATTTCTTCACTCTGATAGACACAGCTTCTCTCCCCACTGATGTGCCGTCCTGTTGTGTTCATCTGTCTGCTTCTGCTTTTGAAATGCTCATGGATGGTTTGGTGGACAGAATCCATTGCCCCCTGCCTCCCTTCTAGGCCAGCTGCTCCACCCTTATGTGGAGGTCCTCTCTACTTGTGTTACATCTTTCCGTGGGTATCCGGCCTTGAGCCAGAAGGGTGCTCAGCCACGTGGCTGAGGTTGTTTTTAAGTGTACATAAAATCCCTGCTGGCTGCAACCTGCGGAGAAACATGGAAGCAAGGTTGAGGTGGTGCTTCCCCAGAATCCCCAGAATTCTACTCCCCATTCAAGCACTGTGCACTTAAGTAGCTCTCCCAGCTGGAGGTGGTATCTTCATTTCTGCAGGCCTTGGAGGATTGTGTGATGGCCTCGCCTCTGTTAAGTGCCTCATTCAGATTTGTAGCACAGTGTACACCACACACTCATTTCTGCTGGAAATCTTTTTTTGCTACAGAATTCTCATTTTGCTATAGTATTCATTGGGCATCAGCCTATCCAGGGCTTATTGGCTGTACCAATGATGGGACATTTCGCTTCCATTCCCTCTGCTTCAGCCACACTAGCAGTGGGGTGGGATCAGGACATGCAGACACAGGTGTGTTACTGCTAACAGCTTGCTGTGCTTTGTGCCTGGCAGTCTGGCATGCCCATTGTCTGTCAAAGGATCCAAGGCACTGCTGAGTACAAGGCATTACACCCGTCGGGTCCCCTGCCAGAGGAACAGGGGTATCCATTTGAGGACTAACAGAAACTCAGGCAAGAAACCCAGGATCCCTTTTCAGAGGAGATTGCGCTGGCTGCAAAGTTTCCAAGTGAAAGGTTCAAGTTACAGAGCAGGAACTGAGTGCTCGGTGTCACTAATGACTTAAGTGTGCCCACGCACTTTTCATAGGGATTAGTAATTAAGCAACTAAGTGCATGCCAGGTGCATGAGAGAACCTCACTCCAAATAGGAGAACACATAACTGTGCTTACAAGCGTATGCCTTAAAAATATGCAAAGTGGGGGAGATACAGCTGGGATGCTTTGTGCTGAGACTTTGGCAGGTCTTGGCCTGGTCACCAGATATCCAGGCTATTTGCTTGAGAAAGACCTCTTGGTAAAAGCCAGTACTGACTGGCGTGGCTTGCAGGCTGCAGGAGTGTTGGCAAGAGGAGGGCCAGGAGATACAGACATTTTTTGAATATCGGGTTAGGACCTGGGTAAGCTGAGAGGAAGAACCAGGAGTGGGCAAACAGCATAAGACTTTTCTCAGCACCAGTGGATGAAGGGAGAGGTCACTTTGGTTGAGCACAGGGAGCCTTCCCTAGAGTGTGCATGACGTCAGACAACAAGCTGTTTGCTGTGGAGCTGTCATGTGCAAGGGTGGGAATGTCAGCTCTGGCATGAGGATACCTATAGGAATGATGTGGCATCATCAGTAAGTCTTGTCTACAGCCTATTGAACTTCATTGCTGCAGGGTTCTGGGTGGTGAGGATGACTCCAAATGGCGTCATTTGTTCTGCATGGCTGGCATGTCACTGACAGAGGCAGAAGTTACGGTGTACTTTAATAGATACAAAATGCCTTCTTCCAGATGTTTCCCTTCAAATGTGAATTTCAGGGTGTCAGGTTTACAGCTGCTGGTTGGGAGATTTTTATCAAACCAGAGGATATCTAGACCTTCCTTGGGGAAGTCTGAGTTTCCTGAAGGGCCAGCAGATTCCCTGTTGGATTTGCTTAGGCATGAGCTTTTTGCCAGGAGGCTGAGGCCTCAGTCTTTCTAGTTGATGGCTGGCTTGCCTGAAGCAATGAGAGTGTATGATGAGCTCTGCTTTCTGAGTCTGACAAGACAGAGCTTCTCACCATCTGGAATATCCCCTGTCTTTTCTCTGTTCACTCTCCTCATCCAGGGCACAAATGTCCTAGCAATGCCAGCTCTGCCCTGGAAAGACTAAGAGATGAAGATATGCCTGATGGGTATTACTTGCTGAGCAGGGGCTGGGGCCATCAACTGTCTTGTATGCTCTGTTTTATTGAGAACTGTTCCAGATGATGCTTGGCTACTCCACAAGCTGCACAAGGGCTCTCAGTGTGAGAAAGCTGAAAAACAGGGTACTATGATGGTCTCCTGGAGGCTGAGTGACTCACTGTCATGCTGCAGGAGCAAGGAGAATTTCAGTCATGTCGGAACTAGTAGTGGTTTAACTGTTTCAGGGGAAAGGCAACTAAACCCTCTTCCCTCTTGTGTTGAACTAGAATCAGAATTCAAACTGATGAGTGCAGAAAACAAGTTTTTGTGAAATATAGGGGGTCAGCTTTCAGCCCAGTTCCCATCCTGTGTAACTTCCTGGTGTTCAGAGGAGGAACCTGGACAGTTGGACATACCTGTGCATTCTTTAGAGTCCAAGTCAGAGAAAGTTTGATTGGGAAGGGACTTCTGGAAGTTCCTTGTCCAGTGTTCTCCTCTGAGCAGGCCTAGCCCCATAACTAGATCAGTTTCCCCTGGGCCTTGACTAGTTGAGCATTTTATACCCAAGGATGGGGATTCCACCACCTCTCAGATCCCCATCTAAGGGCTGTACCAATTCTCCACCAAGAAGGCTTCCCCTTGCCTCAGCCTTTTTCTGTTGCCCCTGATGTTCACCTCTAAGGAAAGCCTGTTTTGTTTTTAGAAACCCTTTCCCTTTAGGCAGTGCGTGACAGATTGACTGCAATTACATCCCTCTGCAGCATTCCCCTCTCAATTCTGAAAAAGTCCAGTTCCCTTTATTTCTCCTCACAGCTTATGTGTTGCAGCCTCCTGCCCATCCTGATGGCTCTGTACTGGACTCTGCAGCTTGGGAAGACCTGTCTTCTGCTAGGGGACATCAAATTGGATGCAGCATCCAGCTGCAGCCTCAGTGGAGCTCAGCAGAGGGGAATGCCCACCTATTTTTCCCATCTATATTTCCTGGCTAGATATTTTCTAGTGCAGCTTGGACTGCAAGTCCAGTGCAGAGTCCATAGGAAGTCTCTTGTAGCTCTAACAAGAGGTTTCAACATCTTGTGCGTTCAAGGCGGTGATGCAGAGCCCCAGCAGGCCAACAACAATGCTGCAGCCTGGATCTGTGTTTATGGCTTGTTAAAAAGATGTTTTCCTCTCTCTCTGAGAAAATGAGATCTGCCTAAAAAAGAATCTACAAAAAAATGTGCAGGAGACCATTCCCTTAAAGGCCTGGCTTTAGATATTTACCATCCTTTGATTTGTCCAAGCCAAAGACTTGACTTTTAGGGAAAACAATGTTCATTTGAAATGGGACAAACTTCTGAATGCCTGTATCTCAAGTGATCACTTGTAAGGCCACTACTAGGCTCTGGTTATGTCTACCAGAGAAGGGACTGTGGGGTCCAGGTGTGATGTTTGTACTTGTATGTTAGGAGGAGACCATTCCTGTAGCAGCACAACTGCACTGACATCCCTCATGAGCAGGGTAACTGGTGATGGCAAGAACTCAGTGGTCAAGACTATGATTCTGTACAGCTGTGTTTTGACACTGGGGATGGATCCAGCTCCTCCTCTACTCTGCTCTGAGTTCCTACTGGGTTTTGCAAAATTCACACAGATTCATGTTTTTAGGTGTGGTCTCAGTAGAAGCTGATACTCATCTTTTCCTCTCTTGCTACTGGATCTGGGCATAATTTGTTGGTCAGTTCTTGAAACTCCAAGGAACTGGTGATGTTGGGTTGCTCAGTGACTCAAACATCGAGGTGGCTGTGGAGTCAGGTTCTTGCACACCAGCATCCAGTTGTGCTGGGATGCAAGCTCAGGGTTTGAAAGTTGTCCCATGAGGGGCAGAGTCAGCAGAGACTTTTTCATCCTTCATCCCTACTGTGTCTGCCCCAGCTCTACCACATGTTACAGCTACCCCTTCTCCGAGTGATTCTGGTATCCCTTGCTTTCCCTTAGACCTCCCTGCAAATGCCCCAGCTCTTCTTCATTCCTTGACTGTCATCCAAAGGAGAACTCTAGGCTGACAGACCCTTTGCACGTGTGCAGCTGGACAATAAATTAGGGTTTGGGTCCTGCATGAGATTTCATTGAGGGTTAGCTAATGGCTTTAAGGTTTCCCAGAGGACTGATAGGCCACATAAAAACACAGTTTTCATTTAGGAACCAGCTGGAGCTGATTTGCTCCTCTCATCTGCACAGCATGAGTCTTGGATCTACACCTGGGTGATTCATTGAGGTCCTAGTGTATGCACAGAAAGTACTTAATTTCTGTTGAGTTTATAGGAAATGGTCACTTGAGCTATGTGTAGTTCCTCAAGAAAATCCAACCCAAACCAAACCAAAAAACCCAGCAAAAAACTCTGGCATTTATCTTTAAAGTTATGCTACAAATCAAAGAAAAGGAAAAAGAGAAATTGCAGCAAGTGCAGAGGGGTTGGTTGACATTGGTTTGTTATTTTTAAGTTGCAAAAATAATAGCTCTGAACTTTGACTCACGTTTATACTTAAGCTATTAAAAAAACCCTCATAAATCAAAATCCTCTGTGAGTCAAATAGGAATTGTTCTCAAGCCACAAGATTAATTCCTGCCTCCATTGCTGCTTAAAAACAGTTTTTATCCTTAATAGACTTCTGCCTTCAAACTTGGCAGTTTTTCCAAGAATCATCAATATCCAAGTTGGTGACATTTGGCCACCTCTTTATGCCGAAAAACAAGCCCCTTGGTCTCTTTTCAAATTTCAGCACACAGAAAAAGTTTTGCACTAGATTTGAGAGTTGTCTAAGGCAGGGATGTTAGTTTTTTCAGTCGTGGCTCTCTCGCGGGCCAGAGTACGCAGGATTCCCATTCTCTGCCTTTTGGTGGTGATTCAGTAATTATTTCCAGTATTGTACAGGATGCTTTTCATTTTTGCTTGTTTTCAGCGTCCGTGTATTTGTTCAGCACATTTGGACCCTTCAGAAAGAAACTATTCGATCCCCCTCATAATCATAAATGTTGCCTTTGTTTCGTTTTGTTTTCCTATATTCATGACATGAACAGTCTTCCCTGTAGATGACCTGTGTCTTTCTCCCAACCAATTTCATTTTTCTCCTTTAACAATTTTAATGATCATCATGGGTTCCCACCTATGTACTCTTCAGACTTACCAAGTGCTAGTGTTTGAGCTGTCATCTCACGTGTTTGACAAGTACTTTGACCAAGGAGACCTAATATCTTGCTGTCTTGGTAGTCTATGTGAAATTTAATGTTTTGAGGTCTTAAAATTGTAATAGTGTCGGTCCTGTACGGTTTCTGCATATTACTTGTGTATTCTTTTGTGATGCCTCCTTAGTTGAATGAATGAAAAGTGGCAGGTTTAATGAAAAATAACAAAAAATCAGAGCTGCCATCTTATTTGAGCATTGCAAATAGATTTGACGGAGATTTGTGGTGAATTATAGTTAACTCTTCCCTGAATGTTTAGCAGTTTGTGGATTTAAAATCTGAACATAACCCTGCAGCTGTGCTGGAGGATCTTGTTCATTTGTTTGAGCTCAGTTGGGGCAGGACCTGTGTTAAGCTGTGCTTGTACCCTAGCACAAGTCAGGGAGAGCTGTTTGTGGGAGTGGTTGTTTCAGTACGCTGTGTAAACTAAAACAGTTGTGCTTAGGCAGAATTTACCTGCTTTCTTATTTTTGGCAGTGCAAAGCCCTCTTGCCATTTACAGCAGATGGGCTCTTTTGCTTTTTCTCCCAGCACTCATTAGCAAGATAGGGTAGAAGAGGGCTGGGAGGTAGAGATAAGGGAGAGCCAGCGAACATACTGGTCCTGGAGGCTGTGCTGGAGGACACAATGCTGAACAGCTCGTTCAACAGGCAGGGGAGCAGTACAGAATGTCCTGCTGCCGCGGGCAGGACTAGTGCTCCCGTCAAGCAGCGCTCCTGATGGGCTTTCTGCGGGAGCTGTGCGAGGTGCCAGCACCATCCGGCTGCACCAGCAAGGCTGCGAGGGCACGGTCCCCTCCCGGCAGCTCTGTTTGGGGTAGATGGCAAACGAAATTCTCCCCACGGGGATTTCAGCTGTGTTTCAGCAGGCTCTGCACCTGTCCTGAACCCTCAGGGCCTTTGCTATATGCAGCCCCGGCTTCATATCTCTGCAAGATGCTTTGAAACCTGAAGCGTTTTCCAGAAGTGTTGCCTGTGTGCACTGACATCCGCCGTCTGTCCTGCCTTTCGCCTCTCGGTGCTGACATCTCTGTCCTTCTGGTGCGAGACAACAAGGTCAGCCCCGTGGGGGCTGCGCTCTGGTCCCAGATAAGCCACACTTGCAGACTACGCTGGGTTGCTGGGAAGGGACTGCAGCTGCCTCTGGGAGTAGTTGTGCTCACGCAGCCAAGACAGAGATTGCCATGTGCGTGGCAGGTGTAGGTATTTTAAGCCATTACAGGAAATTTAGCAGCCTGGGGTGGATTATTCTCTGCCTTCCAGCCTGCTTGTAGCTCCAGCTCCTTCCACGGCAAAATGGTCAAAACTAAAAATCACACATGAAATGCAGATTAGCTGTGGTTTGTACACTTCGGTCTAAGGTTGCAGTGGTGCAGCACAGCTCCAGATCCAAATCCAGGCTGCTTTTCTAGGATCTCCCACATCAGTGTTTATGGGTAATGGCGATAAAGGCTCTGCCCTTCTCTATGCCAGCAGGAAGGGCAGTCTTGCAGGGGATGAGCTGCTGGATGTGGCTCCTTGGCTGACTGGTATGTGGTTGCACGACTGCTGCATGCCACTCTCACTGCTCAAGGAGCCTTGCACTGACTACTGTAGGGCATTGGTAAAGCACAGGCGTGTGGGGGTCCCCACTGCCTCATTTAGCCAAACCCATGGAGTCCCATCACTTGTGCTTCCTCCTTCATCCTCCTGCTGCCCTGGACTCCGGTGCCCACAGGCTGATGGTCACTTCATGGAGCAAACCAGCCCAATGAAAAGCTGGGTTTCACCCTCTCAGCTCCCAACTCTGGGAGCTTCAGGGGCTGTTTCTCTCATCCAGGAGGCACCATCTCCTGATGCTTCACCTCCTAAGTGGCGAGTGGCAGGAATGCAAGTGATGCAGGAATTGCCATCACACCAGTGGGAAACCAAATGTCTGACCAAATGACAGCTCTAAATTTAAGAGCTTGCTGTTGAGCGAGAATATGTGTGTTACTGTGCCCTTTTGTGACCAAGCTAAAGATAATTTTCCTGTCTAGAGCAGCAACTGTGTTGCAACCTGTATAAGGAAACTTCTCCACTAATGAAGAGTGATGATCATAAGAGCATAATCTGTCCTGAGAGGACAAGCAAAGCTTGAGAGATGAGACTTGGAGTAGGGCTCTGATGCTCCACTGAGCTGAAAAGAGCCCATTTATAGAAATTTGAAAGATGTTTGACTCCTTAAAAAATGCAGAGGCCTTACTGTTATTTTAATGTAAATGTCATTCAAGAGAACAGAAAAACTTTGGGAAAAGTAATTTTAAATTATCTAGAGTTCAGTTTTTCTCCACAAAAACTGAGCGAAAAAATTGTAAATGTACAGACGGTACTATGGAACAGGAGACTGTCAGCAAAAGAGCAGAGTTGGAACATTTTTGTGTGTTGTACTGAGTGTGTTTCTGACCCACCTGCACATATTAAACACAGTGACCTTTGTAGAAGGTCCTCTACAGTCTTTTTGCTTGCATAGGTCCAGTTACATGTGTGTGACTGTGTATGGCATTTTGTATTGGGAGATGTGGGCCAAACTTTTGGGTCAGCAGGGATTATCCACGTAGGCCATTCACTATGTTAGTCACACTTCTCTTCCTGCAGGGTTGGTTTGGAACATGCAGCAGCAAACAGGTCATCTGCTTAGCCAGCAGCTGTTCAAATGTGTTGTCTCAGGGAAGGTGGGTCACTAAACAGCACGTTTAACTGGCAGCCTCCTGGACATGTGTGGATAATACTTCCTGATCTCCTTGTGGCTTTAAAGCACAGGCAGAAGTTCTGTGCACTGTAGCCTCATGGAGGTTTGCAGGGCTCAGAGGTACTCAGTGGTGCTACAAATCTGTTTTCCCATCTGGTGACAATGTTATCTGGAGTGCCAAGTGCAGGGAGGTGTTACTGGGGGCTCGTAAGGACATGAGACCTGCTGACTTCTGGTTTATTGATGATTTCTGGTTTACTGTCCTTCAGGGAAATAAATGCCTAGGACACTTCAGTAACATACAGCACTGCTTGCAGGAAAACATCTCTAACCAGGGCCCTGTACGAAGTTCCTCCTCTGTGCTGCCCCTTAAGTCCATGAATGGGGCAATGAGCTGCTGGCAGTTGTGCCACTCTCATCACCATGGGCTGTTAAGTGCTTGTAGGAGCCCTGAGCAATCTGGCCTGTCTTAGAAATCATCTGTGCTTTAAGCATAAATCTTTTGCAGGTCTGGGGTATTCAGTGTTCCCCAACCAGACAGGCTACAGTGTCATGTTTCACGTGTTCAGTGTTAACGCTTCTTGTTTTCATTTCAGGTTCTGTTTCAGCATAAAAGTGAGATCCACAAGACTCCTCTAAGATGTCCTACAGAAAGGAGCTAGAAAAATACCGAGACCTGGATGAAGACAAGATCCTTGGAGCTCTGACAGAGGAGGAGCTCAGGAAGTTAGAGAATGAACTGGAAGAGCTGGATCCTGATGTAAGTAACTTTTGAACAAGATTTGCTAGGTGATAAATCTCTGTAGTTGTGGGGAAAGGGACTGCATTAGTAATCTCTATTTCAGTGAGATCCTTGGCAGATCCTTTGGGATCCTTGGTACTCAGTGCAAGAGTGGAAGAGACTGACTGCAGGTGAGCAGAAGAAATTTTTGCCATTGCAAGATGTGTGTCTTTGTTTCTGCTTTCCTGCTCTTTCCCCAGTGTGTGTGCTCAGATGTGATGAGCACTGTGATTTGTAGCACCGATATGAGCCAGTGCTGGTGCAGGGCAGTAAACCTGCAGAAAATGGATCTCTGTTTCTGATCAGGGCACCTTGGAGGGAATGCTTTGTAGGTTGTTGGGGTTTGGGGTTTTTGTAACAAACTTCAAATGGTCTGTATTTCCTTCCATTTAGGCGGAAAGCCAAATCCCAGAGTTTAGCAAAGTGGGACAATTTATTTTTAGCAACCTCCCAACATCAGCAGGAGCTACATATATGCAAACATGGGGTCTGCTGGTGCCAAGCTGGTGAAAGGTTTTTGGAGGCAACATTGTCCCATGGCCCTAACAGGGGATGTGCAGAGCCAACTGGCAGGCCTCTGGGTTATGGCAATGTTACATGATGAGTTTGGGCACTGCCAAGTGAGAAATTGTTCCTGTAACATGCAGTTAGTGTTTCTGGAGTAAATGATGAGAGGCGTAGATTGCATCATCAGTATTTTTAATTGCAACATAGGAAAGTATTTAAGAGGTGGCAAGCTAGCTCCCAGGATTAAGTGTCTGGGCTGATGGGCTGCCTCAGTTCCAGCTGCCTCAGCAGGCACAGAGGCAGGCAGCATACTGTGCAGAAGGGTAAAATAGTTGTGGACATCTATCAGTACAGGTGTAGTCTGAGTGCAGAAGTTTAAGCCTGAAGATCACATGGTGACCTCTCACAGCATGAAGCCTGAGGAAGCAAGCTGTCTCCTATTCCTCCCTGCTTGGGCATTCACACAGTTCTCCTCTGTTGCCCTCCAAGGCTGCCTGGGTCTAATTGCCTCTCGTTAGTAATTTTCCTTCCCAGGCTTGTCACTGAAACAGATTTAAATTGTAATGAACTACTTTTATCAGGCAGGCATGGAAAAATCACTGCATTGTTCAACATCACATTGAATGTCTTAAAAAGTAAATGTTGACTTCTATCCAGTAAAGCTTTAAAGAACGTGCTTAGTGTCAAATCTGGGAATAGTCTTACTGCATTAAGGCTGTTCTATATTTAAATATAAGCAGGTGTTTACGTGCCGTATGTGTCAGGCACAAAGCAACTTCCCGTGGTGGTTAATGTGACTGAATAACAAGGAAGCAGCTTGAAAACAGGCTGATGTTCACTGGGGTCTTGTTCTGCAACCGAGTGACCTTCTCTGTGAGACCCTGGCTGTAGTTTTTGAGGGATCATGAAAGGCAGAGGGGCCCACCATGACCTCTGGTCTGCTCTGTGAGAGACCATGAGATTTCACTGAACTGATTCTTGTTGGGACACTTGAACAGATTCATATGGGGGGGAGAAGATGGCTGAGAGCCCCCAGAGGAAAGGGCTGGAGCTGCAGTTGCAGAGAATATCTACTTGGCAGCATTTGAAACTGGAGCAGGGAAGGAGCATCACATGTCTTGGATGATGTGGGAATTAGTGGGGCTGGATGGAGATAACCTTTCACACAAGGAGAAGCAAATTATCCAGCAACGTGGAAGAAAGGCAGTGCAATGAGGGAAGTGGAGAGGGGAGAGTGTTTGATGGATGGGGATCGTGGGCTGCAGAGATAACCTGTGTTTCTCCCCTTCATGTCTAGAATGCATTGCTGCCGGCAGGGCTCCGGCAGCGGGATCAGACGCAGAAGCCACCAACTGGCCCATTCAAAAGGGAGGAACTCATGGCCCACCTAGAAAAGCAGGCAAAGGACATTAAAGACAGAGAAGACTTGGTTCCTTTCACGGGTGAAAAGAGAGGTATGGTCATCCTTTGCACCATGCTGGGTGCATCATGATGAAGGCACAGTGGGTGCACAGGAGAAGGGTTGTGTCTAACCTGCATTGATAAAACTTCATTTTGACACCACTGCTGTCTAACCCCTGATAAACTGGGGTGTGCTCAAGAGGTCTCTGTGCCTGCTGATTTGGATACTACCTGATATATTGTTAAGCACAGGACAGAAGGCTGTACCACTATGCAGCCTCGTTCTGTCCCCATGCCACTGCAGCTGTATCAGGCTCTGGAGAAGACATCGTCTTCTATCCTTTCATCTTCTATCTCCTCCTCTGGCCTGTCCTCCTGTGAGCTCTGCATGCTGTGCTCCATGTTGCACTGTTTCCTTTCACACTCCATCCCAACACTCTGAGCTTCTCATCATAAAGAAACTCCACAGCTCTCCACAGCTGTGATGAGCCCCAACAGTTTCCTTCTAACCTCCATCACCTCTTGACAACTGCAGCTTTACTTCCCAGTCTCCTACAGGTCACATGTTTGTGTCTTCCTGCACCGTACCCTACAGCAGCTGCTGCACTCTTGCTCTGCATGACTCCGAGGCCTGTGAGCAAGGTTGCCTCTTCTCTTTCCTCTGCTTCTGGCATCTTTTCCTGTTCTCCTCGTACATGACCCATTATGCAAATAACTTGCCTGTTCCCATTAGCACTTTGAATATCATCTGACGTGGGACATAGGCTGGTCAGTCCTTGCCTCTGGGTTTGAGAAGCTTCTCAGCATCTCTATTCTGCTGTTGTGTCTCCCTCTGTACCATGGTCCCTCTGCAGCAGATGATCTGGTTGGACGCTGTTCACACGAATGGTTGCCCTGTGTCAAAAAAAAGAAGTGCACGAAAATGTAGGTATATTGAGGAAGTTTTCCAACTGAGGTCTTTCTCAAAGGGGTCTCCTTACAGACTCATATGGCTCTCTTAGGAAGAGCTTGTGTTAAATCTGTTCATTTAATAAAACCTGAGGTGGTATTTTTAGACAAAAAAAAAAAAGAGGAGAAAAGAAAAAAGAGTACTCCTTGAGAAAAAGAAATTAAAAGAATAAACTGAGTGCAATCAGGAAGACTAATTTGGTAATTTCAGACATGCCCTAGCCCAGCAGGTAGAAGCAGTGCTCTGCAGGGGACAGAGGTATTTCAGGCATCTCGAGTCTTCAGCTTCTGGTCTGAACTCCTTATGCTTCAGCCTGATGTGATCTCAAATGCATTAAACATATTTTCACTTGTAACACGCTGTTGAGAGGAAGACACTACTTACATTGACTGTGAGCCAGAGATGGTAAATTACATATTCACAGCTGTGACAGAGCTGTAAATAAATCACCACATTTGGAGGGTGATTTACTAGTTTGTCCATGGGAAGTGCTCTCCCTGGCCGTGCTGCTGGACAGAGTAGGAGTTGGGCTGTTCATGCATGCTGTATTATGACATAAAACACTGTGTTTACATTCACCATTTAATTTAAAGCTCAATCTCATAACAAAGCATGGCTGAGACACGAAACTTTCTGAAAGTTAGGAATTAACTATCAGTTAATTAAAATTAACTTAGAATTAAACCACAGAAATTTTGTTGACACTGAGGTGAGGAAAGGAGTTACTGCAAGACAGAAGAATTAAATTTGCCCTGTTTCTCCTGTTCCCTGCTGATGTTGCACGGACCAGACAGTACGTGCAGTCTCCCAAGCCATGCATCCTGTGGGATAGGGGTTCCAGATCTCCACACCAAGCCAGAGCAGACATTTTGCTGCTGAGTACCCAGAGGATGCCTGGCTCTGCAGGCACACATGACGCTCTGCCTATTTTTGTGAGAGCAGCTGTGTCCCAGGAGGCAGATTCCTGCCCTCTCTGTCAGGGTGGCAGAGCACAGGCAGGAGGTGAGCTGTTGTGCAAAAGGCTGCTTATGGCAGCCTCCATTTCGAACTGGGGAGCCTGAGGTGCCGGTGCTTCTTCCTTGAGTCTAAATTTAGCCCCCTCTGTTTCTACACATGTCTGAGCAGCAGGATCTTTGTTCTCCCCTTTGGTGCTGCTTACTCTGGTTTCAGAGAAGGGACAAAAATAGTCCTGGCTGGCATGCCAGGCCAAGCATTTTGCACTTGCTATCTCTGAAGTGATCCTGGACTATTTTAGGGGAGGGGATTGCTCCAAAATGCTCCGAGGGCCCTCCTCCTTCTACTCGAATCTCAGCAGCACTGGGTTCACCCAACAGGCTGCTCTCTACTGTGGTGTGTTAAAACAAGACTCTCTTTTTATTTTTGGGCAGTCACAGGTGGGTGAAATCTCAGACCTGACCCGTTCCATCTCTGTGAAGGGATCCACTGCCCTTTAGTGGTGTGAGCTGGGAGCAGCCATGCAGTGCCACCAACCCTGTCCACTGCCCCATGCCCGGGATGCAACCAGCTCCAGCAGAGAAGGGTTGTGGCTAGTCTGGTGATCACCATGGGAAATGGGATTGGGGAGTGCCAGGGAGCCCACTGTATTCAGAGCTGGGCTGGAGCTGCACCACTCACCACACAGCCTCTTGTCCTTCTGGGCACCCCGCTTAGGAAAAGGCCATGAGCAAGCAGCTGAGATGACAACTTTGCTTTACCAACCAGACCTATTGATTTGCACCTTTGCATTGCAGGGAAAAGGTCTGTTCCTTGGCCTTTTGCTGTCCTGGGAGATAAAGCACAGAGGTCTCCATCTGGCATGCCCTTTGCAGCAAGGTTGAGCTAAATCAGCTACCCCAAGCCTGCTCCTCCTTGCATCCCATGTGTTCACTGAACTGCCATCTCTGCCTGCTACCAGACCCTCCACCACCTCCTTTCCACACTCTTTTGACTAATGTGCCATCTGCTCTACCAACATGCACTTGGAGTTAGCAGCAGGAACTGTCTCAGTGGCAGGACTGATCCTGCACAGTGTTGGGTCTGGGCCACTGGCCTCTCTTTGTCCATGTGAGAGCTGGCAAACCTTCACCCCTTTTGTGCAGCTTTCAAAGAACTGAAGTCCTGCAGGGCCCTGCTGTGTGTGGCTTTGGGCGCTATGCTCTGAACACCGTGATCCTGTACGAAAGTACTACCAGGCTTCTGTAGACACAGCCTGCTGCAGTGGTGAAAGGGCCCAGCTCTACAGCTGAAGGTGTCTGCAGGTGCCTCCTGGCCCACATCACAGCAGGACTCAGATAGAGCTGGGAAGGGATTCAGTGTATTCTCTTACTTTTCTCTAGGTCCTTGTGCCCCTTCTGTTCTTTCCACTGTTCTACTCTCACACCATGGAGATGTGTCTGCACAGCTAGCTGTGAAATAGGTGCTATAACTATACTGAGAGTGACCTCACTTTGCATTTATAGGAAAAGCTTGGATTCCCAAGCAGAAGCCAATGGATCCTGTTTTGGAAAGTGTGACTCTGGAGCCGGAACTGGAGGAAGCCCTTGCTAATGCCTCCGATGCAGAGCTCTGTGACATTGCTGGTAAAATAGTTTCACAATAATTGTGGGTTCAAGTAGTTCAACCACCAGGGTTTTTTTTATTTGTTCTTTTGTGGGAAAGGAGCTATTATATTTTTTGCTGTTTATCTGAATGCTGTCAGTTCTGACAGAACTTGTTTCTTTGTTAAAAAGAGTTACTCTCAGCCCATGTGATTTAATCAGGAGTATGGACCAAAGCTGAGGAGGGAGAGAAGAATTTATCAAGGGAACAGTGTGTGCTGTTTGATATCTTCTTCTGTCTCTGCCACTCACTATCCTTTCAAGAGCAATGCTTTTTTCAAACCAAACCTTAGGAAAAGTCAAGCTGATGCAGTGAGAATGTGGTTTTCCTGTGGGACCTATTAAAGGAACTGTCAGATTAGAGACGTCTTTCACTGGACACTCAGGGCTGCTGTTTGTTAAAGAGCTTTTTCAACATATTTTTAAAGCTATGCATTTCTTGGGATTTGTGCAGTCAGTCAGTATTTGTCTCTTGCTGAAGCCCATAGCATGGACTTAGCTCTGTGACTGGGACAGGACATGCCTCTACCAAAAGAGCATATGGACACCCCATGGTGTTTTACGGAGCTCACATGTGCCCTGCTGCTCTAACAGTCAATGAACATTTCAAGGACACTGGCTTCCTTCTTCTTCTACTTTTGTCTCTTTCAGACTTCCACACTCCCTAGAAGTCTGTAAGAAAGTCTGTAGAATAAGTACACCAACTAGACATCTACATCATAATACTGTATTTTGGCTTAGAAATGTGTTTCTACATTAAGGCTTCCAACATATGCACCCTGGCCAAGTATTGCATCTCTGGATTTTGCTTTTTTACTATTATCCTTGAGTCCTGTAAAACCCTATCTTATAAAATCTGCCTTTCTCCATGTCTGTGCAGCAATTAGTTTTCCAGGGAAATGCTGTTCAGGGTAGCTTGTTCTGCAATTGCTGCCACTTGAAGTGGCAGCAGAAGAACCAATGTGATACAAGCTGTCCTGAAATCTCAATATTGACAGTGACAGCCTTGCTCCTGCCTGTTTAGCAGGGCTCATTTAGCAGGAGCTCATTTTGGTCCTGCCTGTTTAGCAGGGATCATTGTCAGCTGTGATGTATTGGATCCCTTCCTTGGCAAGGCCAGGAGGGTGGCTCCCAAGTAGTCCTGGAAGGGCTCCCTTACCTTTGGTCAGCTGAGAGACAGAAATGGGATGCCTTCGTTCTGCTTGAGTTTCTTTGGAGAATACACAGTAAGCACCAGACTTTGAAACAGCAGGTCCCTTTTGCCTACCAGCACAAACTCTAGCCCTCAAAGCCTCTGAGTGGTCATAACAGCAGATCTTGCCTCTCTCTACAGTCCAGATACTCATGCTCCTGGCTGATGGAGAGATTTCATTGCCCAAATAAGCTGTGCTTTGGGGGGTGTGCGTGTCCCCAAGATGCTGAGCCTGCAAATTACTTTTCTTAGCTGTGTTGCACCCCTGAAAATTTCATCTGTGGGAACACAACAGAGAGAAGGGCCAGCTAAAATACAAACAAGCAAACTCAAAGTGCCCGATCTCACTCAGACCTTCAAATGGAGACTTCTTGGCTCTGTGAGATCCAGTTGGGGATGTGCTGTGGCCGTGGGGAAGTCCATTGACACACTTTGCTGCTGGGTGTCCTGCCTATGCAACCCAGACCCGGAGTCACAATGAGCTGTCACCATAACAGATGTTATTCATGTATTGGGCTTCAAGGATAGCCTTGTCCTGCAACTTCCAGCACTTCTTGGCCAAATCAATGAGATAATGGTGACAGAGTAGTGCCAATCAAGCCTAAGAGGAGCAGCTCATTGGAAAGCAAAGTGCCTTCATAGTGGCATACTTGAATTTTAGGGAAAAATTTATTATTTTGACCACTGTGTCTGTCCAGAGGTCAAGATTTGTTCAAGATGTGTTTGTTTTAACACATATTCTTGTGTCTGCATTTTTCTTTAGAAAATCATATAGCTATTAAAAAAAAAATTGTTGCTTAAAAAGTCAGTTTATTTCCAAACTTGGTCTTTCTGTGAGTAGCAGGCTTTTGGGTTATTACAGTGTTTGAGTTTTGTTCACACCATCACTCTCTGCATTTCAACCAAGCCAGCAGAGCTTTAGCTTCTCACAATGTCAGCTTCTAAGAGTACAAAGATCAACATCACGACCCCAGGCTTGTTTTTGGGTGAAAACATGGTGTGCTTTGCCACACTTCAGGTGACAGTCACCTCACATGTTGCTGCCTTGGTGTTGGTCTGGCTCTGTGTGGGGCACAGCCCATTTCACAGACTGGACTGGTGTAGTGTGTGGCACATGCCTGGGTAAGCAAGGGGGACAAGAATGTGCAGGCTCCTGCTGGACTGGGCCCCTTGGATTAAAGCCCACCAATCACATTTTTTTGAGTGTTATACTGTCTTCTCCTCACTAATTTTGTGTGTTAACATGTCAGGTAGGCTACTGGGAGGCCTTGACTGTTTGTCTGTTGTCCATAAGGTGATGCTCCTCTTCTCCTATGAATCATGCTACACTGGAATAAACAAGGGAGCACATTTGAGCCCTGTTGTGTATTTATAACAGTCAAGGGACTTCATCCCACCTTTGCCTGTTGTTCCAAGCTTGCGCAGGGAAGGGTAGTACGCTACAGACTCCCATCCCAGACAGCATCTCTGTGTCTTTTCTGGGCTTTGGAGCCTGCAATAAGTCATGTTCTCCTTTTTTTTTTCCATAGCCATCCTTGGCATGCACACCTTGATGAGTAACCAGCAGTACTATGAGGCACTGGGGAGCAGCACCATCGTGAACAAAGAAGGGCTCAACAGTAAGTGATTTAGAGTGTTAGCAGGCTGCAGCAGTTGTCTTTGAAGCTGCCGGCAGAGGCAAAGTGGGAATTATTTTTAGGCTGAAGGCTAGAGCCATGAATGTCAGAGCAGCCTGTGATTGCTGGGGCCACCTCTGGTGCATCCTTGCCTTGTGAGAGCCAGCATGGTCTCAGCCACGTCCCTGGTGCCGTTTGGGAGCTAACACAGCCCAGGCAACAGCCCCATAGAAGCAGTGTGTCTTCTGTCACCCAAATTTGGACCTTGAAAGCACATAGCAGCAGGCACTGGCTGTTCTGTGCTGGTTCCCCCCACTGGAGGGTCCTCTCATCTCATGTCGGTTTGTCAGGTCATTCTTCCATCTCCCGTGCTTCCTTCTCTGCTTCTGGAAGAGGAGACACACATCCAAAGAAAAGATACAGCTGCTCAGGGTGCTTTTGCTTTCATATGTGTTGCTTTTCACTTTGCAGGTGTGATTAAGCCCACACAGTACAAACCAGTTCCTGATGAGGAACCAAACTCAACAGATGTGGAGGAAACTCTGAAACGAATACAAAGCAATGATCCTGATCTTGAGGAAGTCAACCTTAACAATATTATGGTATTTGCTCCTTTCTACCCTTCTCTCTTAATAACAGGCTGGAACATCTGATACACAGAAGGCAGAGACCAAGCCTGTTTTGCTGCACAGTTTGTACCATAACACTGAGTGTATCCCGACAAAAAACACCAGTGCTTCCCATCCCTGTGGGCAACAGGGATTGTTACCTGGGACAAAGGCACAGGGTTGGTAGCAAAAGGACTCCTTTTAAGTGCCTGGAAGAATGGAGCTGTGTTGAGGGAAATTTGGGGTGATGCATCTCCAGGCTATATCTGGCTAAAGGCATTGTAGGTTTATTTGATGATTCAGTCAGGCATATTTGGTGGAGGGGCTGTTTATGTATGTTATAAAATGGGGGGGGGGGGGAAGTCTTCACAATCCTGACACTTGCCATGAAAATATGAAGAAACCTCCCTTCTTGCAGGTGGTCCTGTCCTTCTCCCACCCATCCCTTCTGTGGAGCTCTTTTACTTCTCGTAGAAAGCAAATCAGGACATAGTACCACTTCTTATGTTGCCTTTGGGACACATACACATACTGAAAAATATAATTTCTGTTCCATGGGGCCTGTTGAATGATGGCATAGCCAAACAGCAAGAACATGGTTAACTGCATGTGCACATTAAAGACATTTTTTCCATACTACCTGCACCTTTCTATAACAAAAATATTTTTACTTTCATGTATTTGATTTTGGCTAGTGACCCTGTCCCTTGAGGACACAAGGCTGAGGGTCTGGCAGGCAGGCAGGCACTATTTTTGTGTGTTGAACTCATGACTTTGGGACGTGGTCCGGAGAACTGAGGAGTGACAGTGGAGATTGTAAGCTGCTGGGTTCTGTGTTATGGTGATTCCACATGGTGGGATCCAAATGGTGTGGCAAGAAGTCCAAGGTGAGGATACCACTTACAATGTTAGTTGAAAATTTGTGCATTTGAAAAGGGTATCTAAAGTGCTTGATAAGTGAAAAATACTAATTTTGAAGGAACACAGAATAAGAAGCATGGATTTTTTTTTTTCTCTGCTGAGACCTAGCATGGCAAATGTTAGCCTGAAAGATGCTGTATAAGCAGTCAGAGGTGTCTGGTTTCTGTTACAAGGAGATCCTTTCAGGCCTTTCTGGATCAGACCCTGTAGGTGGAACTTTTCTGAACAAGACATAAATGTTACTCAGTGCTATCACTGTATTAGGAAGCACAGGAGCATTACTCTGTAGGCTCATAGACCTTGGTTACCTCCCCACAACACCTGTGTTCCTACATAGCTGAGTTTCTGGGAGATTAAATCAAACAGCAGAGACATGGCTTCAAATCAAGGCAATGAGCTTTTAGCAGAGCACGACACAGGATGAAGGCATTGCCATGTTCCTCAGACCACGCTGATTATAGCAAGAGAACTTATCAACCTCTTCCTGAATTACTTCAGTGCATTTGGTTATTTGACCTCGATGAGAAATTAGAAGTATCTTTTAAATGTATTGCATATTCCTTCATACAGATGATGGCCTAACACAGGCTGTCTGCGTTTCTTTTCACAGAATATTCCCATCCCGACTCTAAAGGCTTTTGCAGAAGCGCTGAAGAACAACACGTATGTGAAGAAGTTCAGTATAGTTGGGACACGGAGCAACGATCCTGTTGCTTTTGTAAGTGCTGTGGGCTCATCATCTTAGTGTTGTGACAGGAGCTGTCCTCAGGCAAGGTGTTTTTGGAGTTACTGACTGACTGACTGGTTCTGCACCTTATGTCATGTTTGGCACGTTCCACACCTCTGGCGTTTGGTGCAGGTGCTTCAGTTTCAGGAGCACTGGTGAAAGTCAGCAACTGACAGGCATTGGTCCCTTCACTTCATTTTTCAGGTACAGAGATTTCAGGGCGCAATCCTGTAATCCCATTCAGTCTCCTATTTGTCCTCAAGGATCTCCCAGAAAAGGAGCATGAGACAAGAACTGACTCCCTAGTGGCATTTTCTAAAAGCAGTTTGTCTCTGTCTCTCTCTCTGGAGATTTCTTTCTGTTAGTACAAAGCTGTGTGCTGCTGTGTGCACACCTGTTCCTCCCCTTGCACATGCCTACTCCAACTCTCTTTCTCATATTCCTTTGTGCAGATGTGTGCAGAAGGAGGACTCTCTTGTGTGGCCTCTGTAGTTGATAATGGGTCTTTCTGGCTGCTGTGCATGATCCTACATATCAGTGGGCATGCAGAGAGGTGCTCAGTGTTCTGCCTGGCCCTCATGCTACCTTCCAGGCTGCATCTTTGCATACTTCTCCAGCACTGTGGCAGCTAATTTTTGCTCTTATTCACCCAGGTCACCCCTACCTACCTCCACACACATTTGTGCACACCAGTTTCCTGTTAGAAAAAAAGCCTTTTTGGAGGGTGAGTACTGCCCTCACATTATTTCAGGCACTCTGGACTGAGGAGGAAGCCTGTGCAGGCAGCACTGGTGCTGAGGGCTCGAGGGGCACTGTACAGGGCTAGGGGAGCTGTGGGGTCAAGTGCTGTGGGTGCAGGTCAGCCCTGCCACTTGGGCATCACCTTCTGTTCCTTCTCTTTCATGCCATAGATGAATCTTCCCATACAGTTTGTAAGATCATCTGATGAGATCATCTGATCAGGTCAGGGGGGTTGGGAGTGTTCCAGCCCACTTCTGGTCTTACCCTCTGAGGGAAGCAAAAGTCATTAATATGATTGTGCTGCCACTGGGGAGGACACCCTGGATGTGGAGAACCCCTTGCTCAAGGTAGACGCTCCTCTCTCTGCCTGCTATAATGGGGAGCATCTCAACCCCATGCAGTGCAGGCACGGACCCAACCAGAATGGAGGCAGGGCAATGCTGGCCAGCATCCCTGTCATCACCATGCTGACTTTAGAAGAGGGACACATGAGGTTGTCACGGGGCAGCTGCTGGTGGGGACTGTCACCTTTAGGGGTAGCCCTACGGATTTGTCTGTACAAGGTTTTGCTGTGTCCTCCAGCATGCTCATGTTCAATAATCCCCCTGCAGCAGTGGGGAAGCCCCTTCACTCTGCACAGAGCAATTCCATCTGGCAGCAGTGAAACTGCTCAGCACGCAGGACCCTCCTGGAGCCCTCCTGGAGGTGAGGGGAGCTGAACCCCTGCTGCCCTGGAGTGCTCTGCCTCTGCCTGTCTGACTGCCTGTTCTTCCTGCCCACCTCTGCCCACAGGCCCTGGCAGAAATGCTGAAGGTCAATAACACGCTGAAGAGCCTGAATGTGGAATCTAACTTCATTTCTGGGTCAGGTATCCTGGCTATTGTCGAGGCGCTCCAGGGCAACACGTCGCTGGTAGAGCTGCGCATCGACAACCAGGTAAGGCGAGTGACAGCTCTGGGCAAGGGAACATGTCCTGGCTGAGGGAACTCAGTGGCTGGTCAGGGTAGAGGCTGGCAGCTCTCAGCCCACTGTTTCTGCTGCAGTTCCTGGGTGGTGTCTGCTACTACACACAGTATTTAACAAAGGCTGCAGCAGTGCAAGCAGCTTCCCATGTTCCTGGTGCTGCCCTGGAGAACGGTGATGTTCCTGTCCAGTATCATGCCTTGCACTGAGCTCTCACAGAGGCTTAAATAACAATGTCTACTTAGTAAAACTGAAATTTTTCCTAAAATGCAACGGAAAGAGAAGGAGACCTGTAGAGTGTGCAGATGCTGTGGCAAGTTTAGCTCCCTGAGAAACCTAGAGGTTGAAGCAGCTGAGCTCTGTGGAGCTCAGGGACAAGTGATTGGGAGCTCAAAATCCTAGTTTCTCCAGACATCCCTCAACTGTTAATCTGTCCAAGAAATAAAGTCTTAGGGCAAACGACCTTGTGGGAATGTCTGCTGGAGGAGTTGGAGCCACTCAGTTGTACCAGAAACAGGCCAGTTGTTTGTTTTACCAGCTCCAAGTCAGAAATGTCAAATGAACCAACAGGTCCAGAGAAGGAGGGAAGTGGTGGATGGACATGACAGATCTAAGTGCTCACTCTGAATCACCCTCTGACGTGACCGGCTTGATTTTTTTTGTTTTCTATTTTCAAAAGAGCCAGCCCTTGGGCAACAAAGTAGAAATGGAAATCGCAAATATGTTGGAAAAAAACACCTCCCTACTGAAGTTTGGGTACCATTTCACTCAGCAAGGTCCCCGGCTTCGTGCCTCCAACGCTATGATGAATAACAACGACCTAGGTGAGTCAGGCTGACTGCAAGCCAGGAAGTATGGGAAGGTCCTATGGGCAATTTCTGGTGGGATTAGGGCAGAACTGCTCACATGAAAGCTCTGGTAAATGCGTATGAATTAGAATCCACCTCTTGAAGGGCCTGATGATGCTTTGGCCCTCAAGGAGGGAGGCAGCCTTCACCAACTGGTTCCTCAATGCAGCTGCAGTCAGCCAGGCAATGGGTTGTGCTCTAAACTTGGAGACACTGAGCAGCTAAAACTCCAAGAAGAGGTAGTGTTTTTTGCAGTGACGGTGGGTGTTGTTGGAAAGGAGCGAGAACTGCTGATGTAGTTGGTACAGCTTGTGCTACAGCATATGGCACACGGGTTATGAGCTGCTAGTGCTTGTGATGCCTGCCAACTGCTTGTCTTCCTCCAGCTTCATTCCCACTTTAACAAGGAGATGAAAAGTATCAGAGTTGAACTTGGACGGCAGTAGGATTTGGCCCATCCCCTCCAGTGAAAGAAGCTGGAACTGTTTCTAGGGAGACGTGGGAAGCCACGTGGCTTTGAGTTATCTTTATACTCTCAATGAAGTGATCAGAAGTGCTTGTGAAGCAAAATGTGGGCAAGTCTGCAAACTGCCATTTCAGCCAAAGCTTGTGGCAGAGGCTTTCCATTGCTTGGCTACAGGCTGCTGTGGAGCTCTGGGGATCAGGCCAGCAGAGCAGTACTGAATGCAGCTAACACACCCATCATGCTGTACTCAATGGCTGTCGTATCGGGGCAGATGATAAATGCCTGGTATTTTAAACACAAATAATAAAACTAAACCTTGTGTCAACCGGTCCTGCGCTCCTAGGAATCACAGCCAAGCGGAGGTATGTGCCAGTTCTTCAGGGATCACACAAAATATCCCGTCTTATGGTTCACTGTGTATTTATTCTGCCTGTGGCTGCATTCCTGGTCACTAGAGAGCTGCATTGGCAAAGGCTTGCTATTTCCCATCCTTTGGAACAGAGCAAGATTCTGAATGACTCTGCAGCACCTGGCATTCAAAGTAATCAGCTGAAAGATATAAATCTACTATTTTAATTGTTCCTGCTGTTAAGGAGATTAATTCACAACTTGCCTTCCATGTTAACAACTGCATTTTGCCTCTTTGACCATTAAGAACTGCATTTTTTGTCTGATTTGGTTCTTGTTTGCAGCTCATATTCATTGGTCTGATGGTCTCTGGCAATAGCATCTCAGCTCTACACATGGACAATGTATAAGTACAGGGAAACTTTATTTTCCTCCCTGTCAGCAATAGCTCTCTCCTTGTGCTCCATTCCAATACTCTTGCTTATCATCACCTGATGCTACCAGAATGTGGTTTTGGTCCCATAGCTTCTGTTCTCTAAGATGTTCTGTATGAACCAACTATGGAGGCTTTTATATTCATCCTCATAAGCTAACTTCTGCATCCTCTTTATAATTTTTTTGTTTTGTTTTTCTTTGCACACATTTCTTGAAAAGTCGTGAGTGTAGCTGTCAAGAGGTGTGAATCAGCTTTAAGACTAGATATGAGACTGCTTTGACTGTGTTAACCATGATCAGAGGACTGGAGCCTAGAGGCTTAGGATAAGAAATCAAATTTTTTTTTAATTATTTTTTTTTAATTTTGAAAAGGCAATAGAGAAAAACTAGCAAAGGAAAAACTGTGGCATCCATCTCCTGCTGTTTCTACATCAGTTAGCATCAGATGATGCATTGGATAAAGTCCAGTTACATAGACAAACTGTGAAATACAACTGACTGTAGAATAAGGGAGGTAAGGCTAAAAGTAGCTTCTGACCTTAAAAACTCATAGGGAGAGAAACCTCATCTTACCTTCCTTGATTTTAAACTATGGAAGGCTGTGCCCGCTGCTCAAAGTAGGAATTCAGAAGCTGAATATCCTGTTTCTTTCCTGTCAGAAAGTACACCTCTCAGCTTCTTTCCACAGCAATTAAGCCAAGCCTGCCATCCACATTTTACCATTGCCATGACTGACTCCTCTTTCTTTTCTTTTTCAGTGAGGAAGAGAAGACTTGCAGAGTTGAATGGGCCTATTTTTCCCAAGTGCAGAACTGGAGTGTAGTTCCTGGCTATGGAGGTCATTCCCGGTGATCTGTGCTACACTGTGGAAATCTAAAGGCAATAAGTGCCTTGACAGAGTATTTGTGGTGCCTCGGTTCTGTTTTATGCACTAACAGTTTAAATTAACTAGCGGCTATAGTTTTTATGAAGATTTTATCCAGTAGGACTGGTGATGTTTTCTGTAGAGCTGGAAACTATTTGAGCCAATAATAACCTGTCAGTTTTATGCAATCTCAGTTTAGAGCACATCCCAGTGTAAAAGTGACTTTAACCTGGGACTTAATTTTATATAAACTTCCTGCACGGTGTTTCATAAAGTTAGGATGTGGTATGCATGAGTGAAAGATACAACTGTTTCACACAAATTATAGAAGTATTAAAAAAATACTTTATTTTTTTCCAAGTTGATCTCAAGTAACTATAGAAGAGCAATTGTTTAACAAGCACTTCTATCATCTGGAAACATGGCTAATTTCAAGAATTGTGAACTACCATTTTTTACCGACATTTGCTGAATCATTTAGTTGGAGATGCTGTTTCAAATGCATCCCTGTGTTTCTTTGAAAAAAACCTCATCTCCACCCCTGGCATAAATGGAACTTAAGGCCACCAATTATAAAACAGAGTCTCAAAAATCAACTGGTTTAGGACAGGTCAATATCCTTCAATGCACATCTGAAGAAAACAGTTACTTTTAGAGATATGATGCAAATTCTAACCCACAGAGATGGCCAAACTAATCAGCAAATGAGAGCCTTCTCTTTTAATTCCCACTCCTTTCAGTTTCCTTATGTTAAAAGCATTTGTCCAGATATTCACTGGAAACAAGTCAAATTCTCTCTTTGCTGTTTTGTCTAGATGACCATGTCCATTAATTAAATTCTGTTCTGCTAGGAATTGTTTCTTTTTACTGCTGTCCCTTATGTCCACATAAATGCAAGAATAAATGTTGTGCCCTAGAAAGGCTGTGAAGTGAAATACCGCAACTCTGAACTTGCACTGTACATGGTCTGACCGCTTTTTGTCAGTCTACACCCATCATCCAGCCTGGGAGGAATTCCCCACAGGCCTGTGTAGCTCCCAGACATGCAGTGGACCGGACTCAGCACTATGACATCCAAAACTCCCACTGTTAATGTGAGTGGGATCCCGCTTGCTAGGAAGAGTTTCCTGGAAGAAGTGCTGCTGTACTGAAGCCTTGATCTTGGTCAGATGACGCGTCTCAGAAAATGTTCTCTCTTGATAGAAATCTCCCTTTAAACATCCGTTGAGAGTGAAGTTTTTCAGCCTTTTACACATACACTGGCAAAAGTCCCACAGACTTCCTCAGAGCTTGTGCGCAAACACCACCGACAGTTTAGCTCTGACCAGCAAAGCAGAGAACCACTGTTCAGCAATGTGGGAAACATATCCATTGCTCTTCAGATCTTAGTAGATGTGCCAGTGGTGTGATATAAAATGCTTCACTACAGCTTCTCTTCCCCACTGTGCAAGTTCTGTATCAGAAAAGGAAGAGACTACAGAAGAAAAACACTTGAAAACATACTAAAATGAAGAAACTGGCAGCCAGCCACTTTCTTCCATGCGCGCTGCAAAGACTTCAAAATGGCCAACTAAATCATCAAATCAGAACCACACAGTTTCAGCTAAGCCATCCACTCAAATTTGCATGGTACAGGCTCAGTTTCAGAAGAACATAGATGCATCTTCTCCTGGAAAATCCTGATGGTGCTAAGAAACCCAGATATGCAAGGAGATGCATCTGCAGAATAGGGAGCACTACCATAGGTACTACTACAGCATCTTTTCCTACATGAAAAATAAAACCCAGCTCTTAAAAAAGGAAAGAAAAAAAAAAAGACAAGAACTTTGTCCTGTGTTTCACTATAGCAGCATCCATGCAGCCCAAAAGTATATAAAGCTGGCAGGATCATTCCAGGTTCCTCAGCTGATCCTCACAGAGCCGCTTTCCTGCAAGATGCATCCGACAGCCGAGCGCTGTGCAGCAGAGACAGACAGTGCTGAGGCAACAGGCCTTGTGGTGAAAGGCATTAAGCTGTGCAGCAAGGGAGGTACAAAATGGTATTTAGGAGCAAATGCATCACTATTTGTCCCAGCAGCTCTCCAGGAAAAGGGGGGAAAAAAGCCATTTTGTGACTGCGGCATCTGGCAGTCAACAGCCAGTCTTGCCGAGAAGTCTTCCCTCTCCTGGAGCTAATGTGCTTTCTCTCAGGCATTACCACTGAGATGCCTGGATCCTACCACAAAGCATTTCACATGGCAAGTCCTTACTTGTATTAATCCAACAAAACTAATCCAGAAAACAGGATACAGAGCTGCTTATGGGTTAACTTGCAAGAAGGAGGCTACAGATGTCTCTTACCCCTCTCTTCGTTCTCTGCAGCAGAGGGAACATGACTTTATGGGACTCCATCTACACATCTCAAACCCTTCTCCTTCCTTGCCTTAGGGCAGCAAGGACCAGAAGAGGCCTCATGGCTCACCTCTGCCTTTGAGGTAGAATCTCCAGCTGCCAGGAGCTCTCAGCAGAATTGTACCTTGTAGCCAGGTTTACCATGTGGCAGACTGGCTCGGCTTCAGCATCTACCTTGGCAGAATCAAGCACATCCAACACAACAGGTGAAGTGTTATTTGTGCAGTACTTAAAAAAATTCTAATGGAAGCATTAAAGCTTATTTATCATCATGGATGTTTCAAAAGTTTACATATAAAATCTAGTTGTTGCCATTCTGTACTGGTGATATTGAAACAGCCTTATGAACTGATTACAGTGTCTCAGACCTGCTGACAGACTGAATTACAAAACTGTGTTTCTTTTTAGCCTAACACCAGAAGAGCATACCATGCAAGCTGGAGCACTCCCCATCAGTGCTCTAGACCAGACCTGCAAGTACAGCTTGCATGCTTCTCCACAAATAATCCAGCCCTCAAAACCACAGAGGTTAACAGGCCAGCAAAGACTGGGAGGCAAGATGTCAGGGAAATGTTGGTACTGCTCAGACCTCTGCTGAAGGTGTCTACTGCTGGGAATTTTCACAGATTTACTATTAAACGCTATCCTAGAAAGATTCTCAAAGGAAATATTCGTAAGATTCAAAGTTCGGCCTCCTTAATGGAATTGTCAAAAAGACAGTTGCTGAACCATTATTTCACCATGGCAATACTGGAAACAAGAAGAAATGCTTGCCATGGCTTTAATGGAACCAATGTCCATGTATCTAAGTTTCTAGTCAAGCCAACTTGAGGCCTTACTGAATTAATAGCACCGTGGGAGAAAGTTACAATCTGTATGAAAACAACATAGCCCTAACTGCTATTAAGCAACTGCAGAACTGTGAACTGTTTTCTTGCTTTTAAAAGCAGTTGCCAGTTCAAAAACCCCAAATGACTAACTGCTGTTTAGTTCCCAGAATGACAGTGCGTTTCAAAGACATTTTTCAGTCAAGACATATCTACACTATTAATAAATCCTTTCTGTACGTTGTACAGCATCAGGCACACAAAGCAGCATGTGGGAAAGTATTCTGAGCTCATTTGCTGTAGGTTCCTTCAAATTCAAAGACAATTTCTCCACTAACAGGTGCTGGAAATTGCATAAATATCTTGCAGCTTTTAAAAAACTCAACCCATGTTTAAAAAGCACAAATGCTCCCCAGATCTTGAATTATTTAACCTGGAAAAGGGATCTTGCAACCTCCTTATAGCTGTTGCTGACATTCATGCCCACATGCATCACTTTCAGTGCCATAATGCCAGTATTTTGACAGTCTCTGTGCTTCCCTTTTTGTGTGCTTGTTTCAAAGTGCTTCAAGCTGTCAGGTTTTTTTCAGTGCAAGCAGAGCCAAGCCCTGGATATTTCATATACTGACAAGTTGAAGGAAACAACAGTTCCCAGGGAGACTAAGCATTGGAATGAGGATGGTTTTTACTGTTCATCCTACAGATCACACAAGTATTGCTGGGCAGACTATCTCTGGGCCTTTGCTCCAGTTACAAGAGGAGGGTCCTTATGCTGCCTTCAGCCAGTTTTACACAAGAGTTAAGTCAGCAACTTCAGGTAACTACCCCTTGCTTCTCACTGGTCTAAAGTAAGAGATGCAGGAGGTGGCATGCACATGGAAAATATCTTCAGCTGTAATCTAGTCATATACCCACACCAAATCTGCTGTTTGCACACCCTAATACCAGCTGTTGGAGCAAATGCACAATCACTGGAGAGGTCAGACAGATTGATATCCATGCAGGAAGAAAAGAACAGAATTGTTCTGATGTCCCTTAAGTTTCTTTTGAATTGTGAGCAGCTCTGTCACACTGCAGATACTCTGCTCCAAAATCCCCATGGTAAAGGCCACACTACAAGGCTGTCTCCAGGGAGAGGAATCCTGTAGCGCTGGTGGCACGTTGGGCACTCTGGTAATATACAGGCAAGTAATGGATGGTTTTCAGGGCATACTCTAGGTTTAAAGGCAGCATATGAACAAGACTTTCCAAGCCAACACATTTTCATGATTCCCAAACCTAACTGATTAACAGATAGGGATCTGGTTATAGAAGCCCTTCACATTAGCACGCGTCAGATCAGCCAGTGAAACAGCTTAATCTTTTCCTGTGTCCAGCATCCTTTGTGAGACACGTTCAATAGGTACCCTTGGACGTCTCCTTGTGCATTCACATTCCTCCTTAAGTGTCTGTCCTGAAGCCCTTGAAGTCACCTTGAGCTCCTTCTCTTGACAAACAGGACAGCAAGCTGTAAGACCTTTGTTGCAACAACTTGGACACGTCAGGACAAGCTGCCGGCAGTGCTGGCTCGAACAAAGTTTATACTGGTCCCACAGCGCCCCACAGTATCTGCATGCTGGAGGGAGGAGGAAAAGAAAAAGTTAACACCCACACTGCTCCGGCTGTTCTCCTCGCAGAGAGTTTGCCATGGCACCAGGGGGCTGCCAGCTCTCATTTAAGTGGCTATCTATTGTCTTCCAGGTTTTTAAGTCCTGCTTAGCTTGATCTTCTAGAATCTGGTTAATTTTTAAACTTCTGTTTTCGATGTGAAAAACTTAGGACTGTTTTCTCTCAGGAAAAGAGGAAAGTACTCACTAGTCCTTCCTCTAGTTCTGAATAGACAGATTTAAAGATTCTTAATGCCAAGAGAAGAAGAAAGATATGCAGGTGGTAACTAAGCCAGTACACAGAAATGTTGCCTCTGGGGAAGGGGTGCCATGGAACTTCCTTCCATTTACAAGCAATGGCTTGTTCAGGGTGTCATTTGCAGTCCTGGTGGAGTCCTTCCACAACATCAGAAGTTTTAACTCTCTATCTGAAAGCTACAGCCCAATTTAGCTGCACCATCACACTTCCCTTTGAAACTTCTGGAGGGATGGCTGT